CAAAATATGTAAATGATTACAAAACGTGACAGACTTGACAATTAATTTTTGCCGTCTACGAAAGAGTATGCTATAATATTTTTATGCTTCTGTTTATCCGACATAATTAATAGAATCCCACCAGATGAATGTTCTGTTCTTTGCACGTACAACATATTCCTGCCTAATTAATTTTTTTACATCTATACAAAATAAAAACAAAGACAATTGATGAAGAATATGGAGCCCGTGAACTTTTATATTTTGTTGAAAATTTTACACGGTCAATACTGTATTTAATTGGAAATATCCGAATACCACATTGTCATTTTACAACTAATATATGATTTTTTCGATAATGAAGATGTTGTATAAATAAAGGAAAACTAAAAAGCAGTTAAATGTTGCGTTTTTAACTAACACTATCATTTGTAATATTAAAAATATTAATTTGATGCCCCGAAAAGCTTTCATTAATTAATTTTCACCAGGAATGCACAAATTCACAAAATTGAAAGCAAGCGAAGTATAAATACTTGCCGAGTTATATGACCAAAAGGGACATTGACGGTATAGCCAAAATAATCCACAGTCAACTTGCCCGAGGAAGTTTTAACCTTATTTCTTTTTTAAAGTTTTCTTAATTCAAATATATCCATCTCTTTTTAAACATTTGCATTTGCTATTTTCATTTTCTGTGGCCGTCAATTCCCGAGTAACAAAACAAAATCATATTTTAACACCCTTTTATTGCGCATTTATGTGATATATGATATACAAAGGATACTTGTTTTCATAGTTTGAAAAGATATATTAATACAATTATTTATATTTTGCACTGCATAATTCTATAAACATGATAGACAAACTTTGTTTTTTTTATAAAATATTTTTTTGTAATAAAATCAAGTCCTATATATTTCAATTCGTTATTCGTTCAATAAAAAAACATGTGTTATAAATGAATAGTGAAACTTGACTGCAATTGAGTGAAACAGTTAGATTATATATTTAATCTATACACATTGTACTACGTAAGCATTCGGGATTTCTGTAATAATAAACTAGATGAGATTTCAAGTGATATTAAGTAGTCATAAGAACATTAAACTAGAAAGATTTATTTTAAGTGTTCAACGAATGCAAGTTCATCACTTACTTCTAACTTGTTTATTGAGTTCAAGACCATCACTTCCCTGTAAACAAATGTGTGAAAATGACACTACGAAGGGCAATTTATGTTGGAGTTATAACTAAATAGTACAAGTATATTGTATCGGTTACCAGGTTTCAATGCAAAACTTAAGCTCAGTATTATGAAATATTTTATAGCAATAAAAAAAATAATCATCTGACTAAAATTAGTCTACAAAGCATCTGAAAAAAAAAGGAATTTTAACTGCATTTTCAAGTGAGGTCATTAGAATAGAATTTCTCACTAAAGTTAACTAGCAAAAATACCAAACTCTAAGATATATTCAAAAAGGGGAAGTCCATATTAACTGACCAAATCAAACAACGGAACAAGTGAAAGAACAGCTGTCATTTTCCTGAATTGATAAAGGCATTTTCCGAAAAAATAGTTGGTTAAAACTGGTTTTATAGCTAGCTAAACCTCCCACTTGTATGACAGTTGTTTATAATTAACTCCCTCTATAGTCAACTCTTTGTGAAAAACTATATTGAAAAGAAATCTTGCACTATGATGATCTATGATGAGTTAACTAACAAACATAATTATTCAGGCCACATTTTTTATGTGCCTTGCCTAAAGTAGGAAGCCTTATTTTTATAGTATGATAGCCAATGCGACACCAATTTATCTTTCAGATACCGAAAAGAAGTGGATACTACCAAATAGTTTGTCAAACAACTATTTTCGTAAAGCAGTAGATTCAATCATATTGACCACATACTTACTTTTGAATATTACGACCAAATGATTTAATCTTTACATAAGATAGTATGTTTTATTGATTTTTGAGATTCGAATATCGGTGAACTACTGTTGCCTAAAATGATTCACTCTTATTTGACACATATGACAAATTTATATCATACGACGAATTAGAGTGAAATTATGTGATTTGATGTACGTTCTAACAAGAGGATTTATTTCAGTGTTAAACAAAAGGAAAGCAATTCCGCTATGTATCGACAATGTTAAAAATCATATAATAAAAAAAAAACACACCAACAAACACGCAATAAGATTATGTTGAACTACTGCCGTATAGAAGATAATTGCAATTGATTAAAAAGAGAACGACGAGCAAGCTTTATTTTGACATTGCACAAGGTCATGTTTTTCTCTGACTGTTAATGACGTCTTTACACTAAATCCATTGGATGTTGGATGTGTACTGATTGATGTTTTAGTCCTAAATACATGATTTTTTTAATAGTTGTCATTGGCTTTGAACTAGCTGTCAGTAACTCTCAGATCTGTACTAAGAGTCCTTTTTGTTGTTTAGGGATGAGTGATGGATAAATACCCTGTCCCGTCCGGTCTGTGTTTATGTTTGATGTTTTCCTGCTTTATATCGATCTGATGAGTTAAGCCTATCCTAACTGATTTTTATAGTTTGTTATTATGTTACACCACTGTCCCAGGTTAGGGCAAAAAGGGGGGGGGGCTGTGGAGCGCTCACAAACACATTCTTTATGTGCCTGTCCCAGGTCAGGAACCTGTAGTTCAGTGGTTGTCGTTTGTTCATATCTGTTATATTTGTTTTTCGTTAATTGTTTTATTATAAATTAGGCCGTTAGTTTTCTCAATTGAATTGTTAAACATTTTTCATGTCGGGGCCTTTTATAGCCGACTGTTCGATATGGGTTTTTCTCATTGTTGATGGCCGTATGGTTGCCTATTATTGCTTACATTCACTTTATTCTAACTTTGGAGGATAGTTGTATCATTGGCAATCATACTTCATCTCCTTATTTTTTTAATAACAATCAAGCAAACAAAAGTTCAAAAAATTCATAGGCAAACATATCCCAACCAAATTGTTTATATACAAGACGACAGACATAAAAAGAAGTGACAATGTTGTTTCTATAATATAGCTATTTGTTGAGGTTGATATGGTGACATATTATGCTCACAGATGATTTATATTTCAGGCTTTTGAAACGTTGGTCTCGAGTGAATTAGATATATATTATTCAAATAATCCAAAACGTGTTAATTACGCGAGCAAATTGATCATATTTGTTTCCGTGAATAATCACATCTGGTTCAGGTCGGTCAAGAGTTTAAGAAATTGATGTTTTTGAACTAGGAAAACTTATAATTAACAGAAAAACCCAACATTTACCAGGAATACATTCTATTTATGTCTATGTCAAGCATGTATAATAACGTGTTTGTGATTCATTGGTGGTGGTTCTTGTTTACAATAATGTGTTATTGTACACGCTTTATAATTTATAAATGTGCTTCGGTCAACGCTTTTACATGCCATTAAACCTAAAAAAGAAGACAACCAAAAATCAAACAGAAAAGTACTTATTCTTCAAAACAGATAAATGGACGCCATAGAATTGTTTGTATTAAGCAATGTGTTCTTATTTTGCCTTGTATTTGTAGGGCTGATAACAGAGATGAACAAAATAAAAAAAGTTTAGTGAAAATTAATCTTACACAATTTATAATAAATAGAATGATGCACTTGTTGCTTTGTTCAAAATAGCTACTGATTACTATTCTTTTTAACGAAAATGTGGAAATTTTGTAAACAAACTCAAACTCAATGTATTGCGATGGATTTTGAGAAATCTATCTTTAGAGGATAATCATTTGCATTTGATTGATTGTTTGACAACTTTGAAAAATGAAACCAATTCCTGGACTAGATATTTCTGTACGTTAGTCAAACTTTAAAGCCTTTTATCTATAATAAATCTAAATTTCCTCTAAATTTTTATTTTAAATGTGAAAAAGCGAATAATGAACGCTTTTTAAACGGAACAGGGAATTGCTTACCGTTTTGAAAATATCTGTATTCTGTTAACTACTACATGTATATAGCTTTAGAAAAAGGATTCAGATACCAAGGGGGACTTCAAAACTAAAAATAACTCTAAGAGAAAATGACAACGCCATAAACATAAACGAAAAACGACGATTATATCCAATAGGTAAATAATCTCTGAACATATATGTGTGCTGTTACACCACTGTCCAAGGTTAGGGGGGAAAGGGGGGGGGGATTGAGCGGTCACAAACATGTTTAACCCCGCCACATTCTTTGTACCAAGTCAGGAATATGACAGTTGTTTTCCATTCGTTTGATATGTTTGAGCTTAATTTTTCAATTTGATAAGCGACTTTCCGTTTTGAATTTTCCTTGTAGTTAGGTATTTTTGTTATTTTGCTCTTTATGTGCCTGTCTCAAGTCAGAAGCCTGTAGTTAAGTGGTTGTCATTGGTTTATGTCTGTCATACCGTATAACGGGTAATATTAGCGGGTGTAAAATTTCGCGATTTCCATTGAATAAGGTATACGAAATATTTTTGCGGTTATTATTTTGGCGGATTCAAAATTTTTATCAATACCTTTGCATGTGCACTTTAAAATTGGCGGAATTTATTTTGGCGATTTTGTTCTATCCGCGAAAATAAGCGAAAATTTACACCCCGCGAAAATAACCCGCTAAACGGTATTTGGATTTCGTACATTGTTATGTTATAAATTAGGCCGTTAGTTTTTTCAATTGAATTGTTTTATATTTTTCATGTCGGGGCCTTTTATAGCCGACTATACGGTATATCATACCACATCTCCTTATTTTTATATTTAACATTAATTGAACAGTTTATTTTTCTTTGGTATCTTAAAATGTAGAAAATTATAAGTTTGGTAGTACAAAGCTATTTCACCACTTCAAAGGAAAGTCACACTTAAAACGACCTTTCTAGTCCAAATCTCTTCTTCACTTGAAATATTGTCGTGTTAACTCCTACATATATAAGTGGCATATAATTAGTGGAAAACAACAACCTTCTAGCTGTCTGATTTTCGAAGAAACAATTATTTCGCATCCTGGTTGGAAAGTATTAAAGCGACAAACATTCGTCTTTAATGCAATTGTGGCAAGACTTCAAAAGGTAAGTGATTTTTAATTCAAATACATTTTATTACATGTATTAAGCTCGTGCATAATAAATTATTTTATTTTTGTTTTGTTTTATGTAACCTTATTTTCTTCAGTAAATATCATTAAATCGGAAAATGTTAACATAAATTAATTCAAATTCACGACGTTGGGTGTTTTTGTTTTATTCAGACAAATTTTATATGTAAATATCTACTCAATTTAATAAAAAAAAAAAATATTTAAGGATTCTATATTTTGGATAAGGAAAAGTTAATTTGCCGCATTCATTGATGTGTAAATTCGATAAATTTCTGCTATTATATTGCATTCTTATTAGAAATCAATTGGTGTAGTCGTTTTTAGATTACCGAAAAGTAATAAATTAATGACATGAGTATAGTTGAATAATTTGTATTCCTGAATGTTTATTTTTTACAGAAATCAACAATGGACCTTTTACTGATGATTCTGATAAATGCTTTTTTCCTTTCCGCTGTCATGGCCAATATGGATATGGTATGTTTATTTCTTTCTCAGGAAATGAATAATTTCCATGCATGACTTAAAAGAATGGTTGGTGTGTAATATTTGTATTTATACATTTTATTCTGCTTACCCTTCCGCAGCCTTAAGTTCACTTCCCCGACCCGTTTTACTAATGTTCGTGCTGCTCAATCTTCAGGTATTTGTTCAGTGTTTTGTAGATTAGTTTTTGTATATTCGTCATTTTTCGTTTTTGCCATTGCGCTATTTTTTTCTCGACTTATGATTTACGATTGTCCTCTTAAGTGGTTTTCAATTTTGCCATGGAACTATGAATTTTTAAATATTACTTTTTTATGATCACATTACAAATATTTGTAAATATGAGATTTATACAAAAACTACACGTAGATATGACAAATAAATAGTTTTGCTATGGAGAAATAACGATAATCATTAATATAAAAAGAGAGTTTGAGATCAGAAACAATATGAGTTACTACTTGAAATCTATTGCAAAACATTCGCTTGTTTAAGAAGATTTGCGAATACAATGTGCAGACAGACGAAAAAAACGGACACAAAACTACTATTAACGTCCTTTTCACTTATTTGGAAAAATTGAAAAACGAATGACCGATAGACAACATTTACTATTTACCGCACGCAGGAGGAAAAAACATGACAAAAACACATTATACGTATGCACTTTTGGCTTATAAACATTCTTCAATAGTCAAAGCTATAACTGATGAGGATAATTTTGATCTAAATTAAGTTTATACTGTGCTCTGTTTTATTTTACAAATCTAGTTGAAATTTGATATTGTTTAGAAAAGGCTAGATCAATGCAAAGAATGAATTCGTAAGCATCTATTGTTACTTTTGACAATAACTTCCATCTTCAAATTTAAACTGCATTTTTTGAAAATGGGAAACCAAAAAAAGACACTCTGCTGGTGCAGTTTTGTTCAAATCTGCCTCGCTTTTTTTCAAAAACCTTTTTGGTTATAATTCAATTTGACTTTTTTTGGTATTTTTACCTTTTGGTTAATGGCACATCTGCTTATACCGAATATCGAATTAATAACATTAATCTAAAATGTCTATACTAAATGCTTTCAAAGTTTTTTAACAAGCAAACGCTGTTATTTTTTTCAGAAATTTGGTTATCACATTGTTGAAGGGAAAGCCAGATATTTAGAAAACATAGAAACAAATCTAGAAAAGAATACAGTAAAAATTCACACTCCAGCACACAATGATGTTATGGAATCCTACCAAATTCAAGATTTCCATCAGGTTTGTAAATATAAAAAACACTATAACCTAAGAATGGTTGTTTAACACAAAACAAAATGCAAATTACACCCATGAATGTGGTGACATTTTACTAAAATATTTCTTTTTATGTACAGAGGAACTTAATATTATCGCTAAATAATCTTTCATCGAAGACTTCACTGAAATCGAATTTCACTATTTCTATTTCTACCTATAATTATCTGTTTTCGTCAGTCATTTTGAAGTATATATGTATTCTCCGTTTAAGATAGTATTGTAACTAAAAAGTAATAAAACTATTTGTTCTCTTTGCCAAAATGCAGTTAACAAAGTGCTAGTTAAAAAATGAGAGAAGATTATGGATCATCGGGATAATTTTTAATTTATGTTAATTCTCATATCTTGTAAGGCATGATTTTACAATAATAAGAGCACTATTACGTGTTGAGAGAAAAAACAATGGGAACACATTTTGAAATAAAATATTGAAAGAAAGCTCCTTTAAAATGCTTTCTGAAAACTAGAGGACTTTCTTTGCCGAAGGAAAATAATATACATATTTAATGTCCAAACCTGTATCAACTTAATTATATCAGTTAGTATGTCAAGCATTTTTTTGAAATATTTGAACAAACGAAAAAACATAATGTATTTGTCATAAAAAGTTAAATCCATTTTATAAAATAAAATAAAATTCTTTAATATATCTTAAAGTCCAAACAAAAAACGAATTACACTTCTCAGCAAATTTTACTAATTTCAGTTGACCATGTGGAACGATAATTTACGTTTTTTGGTGATCCCCAATGACGAATTATTCTAAAACTACCTTAAGAGACTAAACTCATTTGTGTTTTGTTTAATGATATGCTGAATGTTTATCATTTGCACAGGAAAATGTTAGGAACATTTAAGTTCCCACGATTAATCATTTTATAAGCGACCCAATTTTGCACAAAGATCATTATTCTTTGAAATAGAAAGTTTTCGTTACAGGGTCAGCAGATGAAATGTCTGCCTTCCTTGAGGCAATGTAGACTGCGGGACATAGACAGAAAAACTGCAGTAGATGCTGGACAAACTACAGAGGCTTTTATTCACAGTTGGGTATACAATATATGCACATTGTTTTAAAATGTTATATTTGTTAGGTAATCGGAAGCTCTAAATGTAAATAACCTCGAGGAGTCATCTCCAAAGTCATCATATCCTTGCCGCCAATCAAAAAAAATAATATTTAAGGAATTGCAATGAATTAAAATTATACTAGTATGTATAATATAGTTCGAATAAGGCATTTAACTGTGGTAAAAAATCAACATACTTAATCCAATTTGCTCCAAAAATGCAGATAGATATTTTGTATTCATCATTGTTCGAAAAGTTTATGATAATTTATCTAACTTGTGATAAACTAGTTTATGAAATCATTATTAGCAATGATCATTTTCCTTTCGCATGTTGTTTAAAATATAGATACTGTAGCCGCATCAACCATAATTATCGATATAGATTTTGAGTGGCGTGGGTGTGTGGGTTTGTGTGTGTGTTATTAATCAAAACTTTTTATTTTATCAGAACAAAGGTGATAATACCATAAATGATACAAACGAAAAAGTGGTCGTGGAAATGTATTATGCTGATTTCGATGAAATAATTGATGACATTTCCCTCAGAGGGGCTTTGCAAGAGTTTCATCAAGATTTTCAATACCCTGTGTATAAGGAAAAGAAGATACCACATGATGCTGAAGTATTAAATATAACTCGTTCTGCAGGTAAAACATAGTTAAATGTAATAAATTCTAACTTTTACCAGAAAGTGAATCGTTTATAATTTGCCATAATTGTGTCTAAATGGATGATAATTAAACTCTGTACGGAATATTACATTAATGGTACCAATTTTACTGCACCAGATTAGATAGATACCACCCTAAGCTTTGGAAACACTAAATGTAAAACTACAAGAACGCTTTTTTTTTGTTACATACAAGTGAAAATACTCGTTATTTCATTTATCTTGGTCAATGCAAAGGGCCCTATGTCTTTCTGATTTATTGGATTATGTTAAGTGCCCTGTTTGTCTACCGAAACCCGGATATGCACTCCAATGTTTGTTTGTTTATGGCTTTATTTTCACTCTTATGTTTTTTTCTGTTTTTTTGTCTATTTCTATCCGGACCTTCACTCCTATGTTTCCCGTTTATACCTGGACTTTACCCTCACGTTTTTCTGTTTATACCTGAACTGTCACTCTCACGTTTGTTTGTAAACATCTACACATTTCTGCCCGTGTTTGCCTGTTTAGACAAAGACGTTTACTCCCATGTTCGTCTGGTTTCTTTTTATACCTTGATGTTCAATCTCTGGTTTGACTGTTTATACCTTGTCTTTCCCTTCAATGTTTCACTGTTAATACATGGACTTTAAATCCCGTTTTTCATGGCTTATACATGTACATCAACTCTGGTGTTTCAATGTTTCTATCTGGACTTTAACTCTCGTGTTTCACTGTTTTTTACCTGGATTTTAACGGACGTTTTCACTGTTTTCATCTGGACTTTCACTACTATGTTTGACTGCTCATACCTAGACTTTGACTAGTATGTTCAACTATTTATACCTTGACCTTCACTTCTATGTTTTACTATTTATTCCTCGACTGTCACTTCTATATTTGACTTTTTATTTTTCGACTATCACCTCTATGTTCGACCGTTTATACCTCGACCTTCATTTCTATGTTTGTCTGTTAATACTACGACTTTCACTTCTATGTTCGACTGTTTATACCTCGACCTTCACTTCTATGTTCGACTGTTAATACCTCGACCTTCACTTCTAAGTTTGACTGTTTATACCTAGACTTTCACTTTTATGGTTGGCTGTTTATACCTTGACCTTCACTTCTTTGTTTGACTATTTATTCCTCGACTTTCACTTTTATGTTTGACTGTTTATACCTCGACTTTTACTTCTATGTTTGACGGTTTATAATTCAAATTTTACGTTTACTTCTATATTTGACTGTTTATACCTTGACTTTACTTCTACAATTGACTAGCACGACTATCACTTCTATGTTTGACTGTTTATTCCTCACCTTTCACCTCTATGTTTGACTGTTTATACCTCGACCTTCACTTCTATGTTTGACTGCTTATACCTCATCTTTCACTTCTATGTTTGACTGTTAATATCTCGACTTTCACTACTATCTTTGACTGTTTATACCTCGAAATTTTTACTTCTATGTTTGACTGTTAACACTTTGACTTTTACTTCTATGTTTATAAAAATAAGGGGATATTTGATTGCCAATGAGACAACTATCCACCAAAGTTTAAATGAAGTGGATGTAAGTAATTATAGGAAACAGTACGACAGTCAACAATGAGAACAACCCATACCGTATGGTCGGCTATAAAAGACCCCGACATGAAAAATATGAAACATTTCAATTGAGAAAACTAACGACCTAATTTATGACAAAATAATTTACGAGAAACAAAAATGACAGACATGAACCAACAACAACCAATGAACTACAGGCTCCTGACTTGATACAGACACAAAAAGATTGACTGTTTATACTTTGACTTTCACTTCTATGTTTGACTATGTATTCCTCGACATTCACTTCTGTGTTTGACTATTTATACCTCGACTATTCTACGTGGATATTTTGATTTGGTTTTTTTGCCAAATTCTGCATTCAAACCTATAGAAAATTTGTAATTCGTTGAA